TATATATATATATATATATATATATATATATATATATATATACTATTATATATATATATATATATATATATACCGTATGTGTACATGTCCTTTTATGTCCTTTTATATATATATATTATATATATATAAAATATATATACGTATACGTATGTGATTTTTATTCATCAGCAATCCTAGGAAATCAAAGCATTAAATAAAATAAAATTTGTTCTTCTTAGCCAACGTATCGTTCACTTGTTTTTCTATTTTTCAATTCAGCTTGCCAATTGAATAATTCGATAATTCACACATAAGTATGTTGTGTTCGTGTTAAGTGTATTGTTTTGCCAATTGAACCACAAAGATAGGTTCTTAATCCTGCTAAGCCAGATATAGGTACATCGCACTGCTTTTACAAAGCATTTTGCCTCGGTCTTTCTCTCTCTCATTCTCTATCCATCGTATTTCCCAATTTCTTTTGAATAGTTTCTCAAATACAAACAATATTTTTTACATAACAAATATTGTATAAAAAATATTTCATTTAAGTACCATACCATTATCCATTAGAACTATTCATTCTCCATCATCCACACATCAATGTGTATTCAAATATGCTGACACTTTAAATACTACTGCATCTGGACATTTCCTAATCTTTTGTTGTCTCTATGTATATATACATATATGAAGCAGAACTAAAAAAAAAACAATAAAACCAAAATGTTTGGACAAGCTTATCTACGCTCTACTGAAGCTGGGATCAAATATATATTTACTCTCTTTTTGATTTTCCATTACTTGTGGTTTATAAATAAGGTTTCGCATTCTGCTTGGAACATAAACATATTTATTTATATAGTTCTTTCTACTCTACGACTCTAACTAAAATTGCTGGTGTAGTATTCAAAGAGTTAATTTTAAGATCATTTGATTTCTTTCGTATAGGATTTTTTTTTGCTTGTTTGTTGCGTTTTACAATTAGTATTTATTCTACGTATTTACACAAGTTATATAAATAGAGTTGATGTACATGTGATTATTATAATTATTATTTTTTGTTAGTTCTAGTTTTTGGTTTAGAAGTACGGTTAGTAACTGATATTAAATGTGTGCTTATTATTATTTTTATTTTATTTTTATTTTTTTTGTATTTGTTTGTGTACGTATGCATATGTGTGCATGTATGTGTGGTTTAATGAAATTTTGCAAACACAAAAAGAAGGAGAATTTGAATGCGGTTAGAGTAAAAAGAAAGATAATATATTTAGTGTTAGAAATTTGACAATTTTGTGCAATACCTCCCGAATCCGAAGTCGATCTGTCTTTTTTACGCTTTTTCTTTTTTGAAACGTAACCGTAGTTATCTCTAGCGCTCCAACCTGGATACAATTCCATATGCAATTGGCGCTCTTGTCGCGCTTTTTCATAATATTTGCTTTGTTCTTCGCGGGAAAGTTCGTGCCACTACAAAAATGTATTCCATTAATGTTAAAATTCAAAAATTGTTCTATTTCTCTTGATATGTATTATTCAATGTATTTAATCTGGGAAAATACTCACTGACTGTCAATTAGGTAAATATATATGTCGAAATACATAATCGATTATAAATCATACCAGTCAGTCAGTCAGGGTAGTGTACTTATCTATGGATCTATTCATAAAACGTCTTTACAATAATCTCAGAAGTCGAATAATACATTCGTATATTATTGTGCATACAAAGACAAATATACAAATTTAGAATAAACCCCCAAAACGCTGCATTTAGCTATCAAAATTTATATATATATATATATATATATATATATATATA